AACGATGCATTGCGGAACACCCACTCGGCGATAAAACTTAGAGCTCTCTCTCAGGCGTCTCCCAAGTCACGTCAGGTGGCGCAACAGTGCAAAGGTAAAATGCTCTGTAGTTGTATGGTTTTTCAAATGACTGTTCCTAATTACCTTTTTTCCATTAAAAATGTACTTATTGGGCATTTAATTATTTGCTCACTTACAGGCTAGTCTAGTTGAATTCACTGCGATCTGAAACGCCTGATAGATTGTTTGTAACTACTCTGTGCGGGGAAACCTTTTAGTTTTGAAGAATTTTGTCATTAAGAAGACGAATAATATAAAAATTTGGTCTGCTTAAACGGTCCTGTAAGTTAGTAGAAGGAAAAGGACGGTGGGAACTGTCCGCTTAAAATCCGGAAAATTTGCAGGAGATTGTAATTGTTTGAAAACTGATTTTATGAGACTGAGAATTCATGCTCAGTTCTCGTTACCCGGATCAACTGGAATGGCTATTATTCGGCAACGAAGCGCGCCTGCCACGCTCTTTCTGTTATTATAGCGTATGAAGTTTTGCCAGACGCTGGTAGGGTTGACGGTGGCCTGAGGAATTCCGTATTGGCTGGTACCCTAATGCCGTCCGGTTTTTGATCGAAGTTGTTTCTTCTAGGCTTTAACTAACCGACGTCTAACCGCAAGGCAGAAATGATGTTGGCGGCTTTTTTTGTTCAAAGGGGGTGAGGTCGCTTTTGCCTCATCATGAGTCGGTCATTGAGCATGGTGACGTTTTTCTTGAAAGCTAACTTATCAGGCTCAGACCCTGTCATGCCTTTTTGGTTTCGCAGCTGCCTCGCCGCGCTTGCTTATTTGTCATAGATAATCTCCATATCTGGAGGTCGTTCGCATCTCCGTAACTCAGAGTCGCGCCACACGTTACGTATATTGCTTCCATATTACTGTTTAGAAACAGTAGCTGTTAGCACACAGTAAAAGCCTTTCCAGAAATTTTAAATGGTTCACATTGCTGCGCAAGATTAAGGAATTTTTCTTGCTTATATTTTTGGTGTTTTGCTAGGTGTTCTTTGTGTTTTTGCAAGTACAGGTTCTCAGTGCCTTTATGTTTAATGTGCTGTGATTCATTTAATCCATAACTGCGGAATCGTATTATTCCTTCAACTGGCAAAACTTGAATCTATCGATTTCTAAATTTAGATACGGTACAATATCAATCTCCAGCCTGTGTGAGACCTCAGACTTCTGCGTTTGTTGCACGTCGTTTAGTGGAGGGTCATCTTGGCATGCGTCCCACTGCCAGGTCGAGAGAACTGCGTAGACAAGAAAAGCTGGTTTTGGATCAGGCGCGAGGTAAATCAGATCATACTGTTCGGTAGCATCGTTGTGATTGTAAGAGCTAGCAGTAGTTATTGTTGAAGGCGATAGGTTTTTAAACAGATGAAACTCGCGATGTTTTCGCCGTCAGCCCTAAGATGATCAAGCTATGACTCAACGCAGTCGCAGCAACTGTTAATGGTGAATATTATCCTTGGTTCAGAGACGTGATGTATTTATTTGGTCTTGGATATCCAAGTAGTCATTTTCGTTAATTTTCTAGTTTCATCAAACCGTCTTCTGCGATCAGTGGGGATAATGCTGCCCAGTGTTTTTGTATGAAAAAGTTAAGTGCGGGTTCTCAATTCCTTATCGCAGTGGCTTCGTTAGACGAAGCTTGGGGGTTGATCATGACAACTGATTTATAATGTGGTAGCACAGTACCTAAGAGCTCAGCTTTGAACTCCGGATGCCCCCATGTTCGGGCAGATGAATTCCCTTGAGCAAGAAATTAACCTAATTTTGCTTTGTCGCAACCAGTCGAGAAACGGGTAGTAAGTCGATGACTTGCTAATATAAGGGGCAGCGTGTTTTCCTGGTGTGGTCACACCGGTGTAATGGTGAGCATGAGGGATGACCCTGACTTCAATATCGAGTAACAGTAATAGCGATCGTCATCATTCACTCTGCCAGGTAATCCCCTGTTTTTGTCGTTGTTTATTGCCTACCATCCAGAGGTTTGAGGTTTGACTCGTATGACTTCACAAGCGAGTTATTGCCTCCTTTCAGATAATTAGAATAAAATTCAGCGGTGGCATGTGTGCTTAGGTAGGCGAGGCACGACATTCTGTGCAGCATTAATCAAAGGACGAAGGAATGATATCAGCCAGTATCTTTTGCAGCTAAATCTGCAAAGATCAAAATGCGACCGTTAAATGAACTATGCAACTGTAAAACCAGCTCTCTGAATGTTCTAATTCATGATCTACTAGGAGCAACGGTTAATAGAATTCACAGGAAGCTTTAAAGCATTTTGTATCGAATGATATGAGGAATGATAAACAGCATGGATCTTTTCTGTGAATACATTACTATACTTGCTGCTGCTTTCATGGTGTGCAGTTACATATATGCGATCTAATTTATATGCTCCTTATGTTATATGACCAAATTATTATCCTTTTTATGCCTAAGAACTGGTCAGAGTTCTAGACAGTTGTCGATCATCATAAACAAACATGATCGTTTGACAGGCCGAATATTTGAAAAGTTGTTGAACCGTCATAGAAATGTTATTAGGTAATGGGTGACTGTGGACTCAACGGCGATTCTGAGGACATTGTTAATATATGCACAGCATCATTTTAGCGCTGAAAGATCAAATTTGTTGGTAGGTGACGAAGAAGCTTCTTGCTCTGTTCAGTGATAATATGTTTGGAGATCCGAGAAGCTTTACTGTTGATGAACTGAAAAACTTAGAAATTGAATAAACATGCGGATTCTTATTTCAAACACAATTACAATATCTGTTAAACCTCTTCTTTTAAATTTAATGAAGGTTTTGCCCTGGTAGACGAGACAGTGATGACAAATGATTTGGATTTAATATTGACCCTGCTAGATAACGCCTTCAGGTTCAAAGATGAAACGATTGTAAGTAAACTTATTTTACTTCAACTCTAAATCAACCCGTATTGTTTAGTCTAGTAAATGGCTGGCATAGCGTGTTTTCTAAACATGGTTTTTATGCTCCCTTAAATTTAGGTGTATAGATCGTTTAAAATCATTCTTCAACTTGTAATATGTGCATTCTAGAAAAGAGAAAGGCGGCGGCTCTCGTACGGGAAGAACTGTGGGAAGGGAAGATTTAGACGTTGTTTGTTGCTCAGGGTTTTCATGTGACTTTTTTGTTTGCAGTTACTGTTTATTTGTTGCTCATGGCAAGTTTTGGTGAACAAAACTTCTGCGTATGTAAATTTATCGTTAATTTTTCTGCCCCTCGCGTTCGGTTCCGCGCGTTTTGTGGTATTTGAGCGAGGGACGGCTAGTTTACCATTATTATTATTACGATTATTACTACTGTTACGGTGCTGTGATCGTACGCGTTTTATGCATTATGGTTGTATCGACGAACAAGTCGGTCGGCGTATTTATCACACGTCGCCGTGGAGCTGACTTCATGTTGTACCACTGTTATTGCCGAAGTTAATGATGCAAGTTTTATTTTAATTAATCATGTTAAAAGCCTGTAACTGTTGGAATTTTTTCCCTCGATTTCTTGGTTTTGTTTTTCACTAATAAATTTGATGAGTTTCGCAATAGCGAAATTCATCACCAAATTCAGAAGCATGTACTTTAAATCAGCCGTCATTTTCAAATTAACAAATATCTTGTACATCTGCAGGTTAAAGAAATGGTCGAACAAATGTTAAGCTGAAAAGTTGAAGATGCGACTATAAGGTCGTGTTTGATTCACAGTGTATAGATTTGCCACTGTATGTGAGGATAATTGTCAGTAAAGAGGACTCTTGCTGATTCAATGTGTATTCGCTCAGGCATCGCTGTTTTAGCTGCAACGTAAATAAACACATATTTTAGGACTTGCTTCTAATATAATCCTACCTCGATGAAGCAAATGTCTGAATGTAAATAAAAATGCTTTTGCATTCTGTCTTACAGCCACAGGTATATATGTCTTTGACACCGTGAGTTGATTCATAAATGAGGTATTTAGACCGTTAATAATAAACGTAAAACATTGTAGCGCATGTGCAAGGCTTTGACGAATATTGTCTTTATCAGTTACACAGATTATATGACACGACGGTCATAAAAAATGAACATGTAATCAGGTTTGTTTTTTGTAGGTGGATTCGTTACGACGGAGACTTGTAGATGCCTTAGTCTTTTGTCGTGACGCTAATTTGTTAAAATCGAGGTTGTTTCCGGTCGAGTTTCCATGTGGAGCCTCCTGAGAGCTTTAATCAGTGTGTCGCTTTTCTTTGATTGTGAGTTGGTGATGGTAACTGCTCGTTGATTTTTTCCATTTTTGTTCGTAATGATCTGGCGGCTTGACCGATGTTAGACACCTCTTGTAATTGGTTATTGGAAAGACAATTTAGTTGCAAGACGTCACGAAATTTTCGTGGGATCGTAGAAAATGCATGACCGCATTTGGAACATACATTAACTCCAGTTGAGACATGCCAATGATGAACTTAGACAGTCTGGAACAGCAAAATCAAAGTTCCTACGATGCAATAAATGTACAAAATTTTTAATATCGGCATACCGTAACTCTTTAATGCTTAATCGAGGTAAGTGCTAAATTTTTAACGCACTTTAGACTACAGAAATCAATCTTAACAACCCTATAATACAATAGTATTGCTGTTTGTGTTAACTTGAACAGCTTAGCACAGATTTAAAGCATAGATATGGAAGGGAATTCGCCATTAACACAGTCGACGCCAATTTTATTGACAAACCGTTTGTGGAGTTGCTGCATCTAAAATTTAGACTTGCCCGCAGTAGATGACGTAGCCTTTCCATGGTATGCTTAATCACTGTACAGTGATTATCTCACCCTACGACTTTACAATGCCAACTGTCTAATGTTTTGTACATTTCATCATTTTTGTTCGCGTGGCTCTAGGGTCCAAAAATCGACTTATCGATTGCGTATTTTACTTTTGGGCTTGACACACTTTTAGTCGATTCACAACATTATATGAGTTCGCTTGATACTGGGGGGGGGGAGAAAATCTGGTCTGAACTATCATTTTTGTGCCCTCTATGACATGAAACGTAGATGTCGTCAACGTCAACCCTCGCAACTTTAAAAATGAACGAAAGGTACGGTCGTTTTCTGAAACTACATATTTTGCTTCTCGGTTCTGGACTCATTTCTTTCCTTATACGTATGTTTTCTTGACTTGATATGCCTTCCACCAATATATGCAATTGTTGACGAAGAAGAGGTCAGCTGCATTGCGTCGTAGGTGCCATGTGACCAAGCTCTCGCAGCTGCTATCAGTGAATAGATGAACTGTCGAACAGGTGAACAAACTTTCTTCAGTAGTCAGCTGTCACACTCACAGCCGCACTAAGGTGCTGCTGTACTGTCGATCATCGACCGACTGACGCTGTGACAAGCTCGTTGAGATCTATTTGTTCTGTACCTTCTGTTACTATGCATAAGCTAATTCCGTGTTCGTAGTATGTTCGCTCTAAATTTTATTCCTTACGACAGTCGGTATGTCATTTCTTCAATATCCACCCGCTGGCCCTGTCGAATTTACTCCGAAATTTCGATTTGTATACTCGAATTAGGGACGATACAAAGGCCGAGTAGCGCAAAGGTTAAAGATGCCACAATCCGAATTAGCAGAGGTCATGGCTGATTCGCGTAACGCTCTCAGTGCCGACTACACTGCTGAAAATGAGTATCAATAGTAGAGTAACTTTTGAGCAAATAAGCAAATGATTCGGTACTCCTAAATTACTCTTACTGTTCAAGCAGAATGAATGTAGTAGCCAAAGTAGGTAAGTTTAAACAACCATTTTATATCCGGAAAGATGCGCTTATGGTTTCTGGACCGTCTTCGTTCATTCCAAGCGAACTTACAGGAAAGTCGAAATCCCCAAATACCGGCGGAACAGGTAACACCCAAATTTGGCAAGTTGCCAGTGTCAGATGATGCCATAGCATGATTAACATCGAAGATACGTAAAAAGACGTCGCGTTTCTCATGGTTCAGGATGTTCAAGTTCTTCGTTAAAAATGATACCGAGAATTCGAATAACGGTACTTATTCAACATCAGTTGATGATTTAAGGTAAACAAAGAAGTAAAGACAATGCAAAATCCTTCTACCATCTCTAATGCATTTTATTTCTGCATTTGCCACTGGATCAGAAGCGAAAACAAGTTGTGCAGAAGAATTTGTCTCGTTCTCAAAGAATCATCATCCTGTTTCGGAAAAATATTGACTGACATTTAGACAAGACAGAATTTTCAGAACATATGCACAGTTTTGTCGTTTATTCTGTTATGTACTTGTTGAGATTATGACCTTGAGCTATTTCCCTCTTCCATAAACTCTGATTTGTGACCTTTGTTGTATTCTCAGCACTGTTGTATTTCAGCGCTTTTGATGTAAGGCACCGATTACTGCATTGTACAAGAAAATACTCCTCTAGAAAGCATTTCGCCTTTCTCTTGTCCCTTCAGGTTACATGCTGGCCTCCTGAACAAAGTTTGCCATATTTTGATTCTTATACGAGAAGATCGCAGGTTGGA